TAGGTGTGAATGTGGGTGTGCTTGGTTGTCTGTCTCTAAACTAATAGAGACGAACATTTGGAGAAGAAATGTGGTTTTAGCATCTGGCGAGGAGAAACTTTAACTTGTAGATATTTTTTGCTAGTTCACCTTGATGACAATAAGTCGATGTCCTGCATGTTTTGTACGGTTCTTCAGCAGAACATCAAGTTGATCAACTGTTGTAACTTTACCTGAAAATCAACAGAACATCGAACTCCTGAAGGCAATGAAACGCATGTTAGTGAAGGAATGAAAAGACTCAGTATTTGAACCAAAACCTGAAAAGTCTGATTCTGAATTGAAGTAAAATCCCTGAAGCTTTGGAGTCAGCCACTCTGGATAAAAACCTGAAGATGTGACTTCTTTGGCCCGATTGAAACACAGGAGACCTGAAAAATCACCATATTTAAATAAAAACCCGACTCTTATTAGGAAATGACATTTAGTGTAAAAGCAGCTAAAACATTGGGGGGGATCTGAAATCTGATGCGAATGTTGAGCTGATTTCAGGTCAGTTTGTTCCAACACATCAAACAGTTTGATTTTATTTTCTGTTGATTGTTGCTGTTCCACTTTTCTCGGAGAGATTTGGTTCAGATGGAATATTTACTGGCTGCCATGTTATGTAAGAGCTCTCAGCTGTGATGTTCGAAGGATGACGAATCAAAACCTCACGGAGTCAAAATGAGCTGGATTCTCCTCAGAAAGCCTCAACAGAAATGTTCTGCAGGATTCAGTCTGCAGCGACCCAGTCGTCCTTCACAGCTGAACAGGAACCGAAGCAGCAGGTGATTCTTTAACCCGAACAACTCCCAGTTCATACCGAGCCTCTGAACAGGCTCAGCCCCGCTGTAGTTCTGCTATTCAGCAGCCTCCTGCTTTGACCTGCAGGTTCCCCTCCTGCCTCCTCCTCCTCTTCTTCATCTCATCGTTTCCCTCTCTTCCTCCTTTCCCCTTCCCTCACCTCTTTCTCCTCCACTTCTCATCCTCCTCCTCTCTCCTCTTTTTCCCTCCTCCTCTTCCTTTCCTCTTCCTCCTGCTTCTCCTCTTCCTCATCTCCTCTTTTTCTCCTCCTCCTCTTCTTCCTCTTCATTTTCTCTTCCTCCTCCAATTCTCACCCTCCTCCTCTTCCTCCTTCTTCTCATCCTCCTCATCTCCTCTTCCTCCCCCTGATCTCCTTACTCCTTCTTCTTCCTCCTCAAATTCTCACCTCCTCTTCCTCTCTCCTCTTTTCCTCCTCCTCCTCTTCCTCCTCCTTCTCTTCCTCTTTTTTGCTTCATCCTCTTCCTCATCTCCTCTTCCTCCCCGATCTCCTTTCTCCTCTTCTTCTTCCTCCTCCTCCTTTCCTCTTCCTTCGCCTCTTCCTCCTCCAATCCTCCTCCTCCTCTTCTTCCTCTCTCCTCTTTTCCTCCTCCTCCTCTTCTTCCTCTTCCTCCTCCCCTTCTCATCCACCTCCTCTTCCTCTCTCCTCTTTTCCTCCTCCTCCTCCTCCTCCTCTTCTTCCTCTTCCTCCTTCTACTCCTCCTCCTCCACCTCCTCCTCCTCCGTCAGTCTCCTCTCGGCAGCGGGAGCAGCAGCAGTGTTGTCGGCAGCAGTTCTCGGTGTTTCTCGGTGCGGAGCGGCAGAGAGGCGGCAGAGAGCGGCGGCGGAGCGGCAGAGCGATGCTGAGAGCGCGGCAGGATGTCTTCCTCCTCTTCCTCGTCCTGGATCCGGACTCTCCGAGCCTTCCTCCTCCTCCTGCTCCTCCGGCTCCTGCTCCTTCCGCCGTGCCAACTTCACCCGCAGCCGTGCCACCTCCTGGCGCAGATCGGACACACGGTGCGCGTCGGTGCGCTCCTGCCGGCGCAGCGGGCGGCTCGCGTACAGGTCCAGGCGGCTCTGAGCCGCGCGGCGGCGGCGCTGAGTCGAGAGCGCGACCCGGAGCGGGACCCGGAGCGGGACCGGGTCAACCACCTGCCCTACAACCTGAGCCTGGAGCTGGTGTCCCGGCCGCTGGCCGCCGCCGACCCGGAGTCGCTGCTCCGCGGCGTGTGCCAGGGCGTGGCGGTGCAGGGAGTGTCGGCGGTGCTCGCCTTCCCGCAGAGCCGCGACGAGCTGCTACAGGTGGACCTGATGGCGTCCTTCTTGGAGATCCCGTTCCTCAGCGTCGTGGAGCACGGGGAGCCGCTGCGCACGCAGGTGAGTCTCCGTGCACCTGGACCCGGGCCCGCACGTGCGCTCCGAGGGCGCACACGCTGTTCTGTCGGTCCGCTCGGTCCGGGTTCGGGTCGGTTTCGGCTTTGATCGTTTGACCTTGACCCGTTTGGTGTCTGGAGGTTTGTGAGAGGAGCGCGTGCAGCCGCACACAGATTCAGCGCGAGGACGCTATTTGTTTGTTCGCTTGTTTGTTTGTTTGTTTGTTTGCTTGCTTGCTTGCTGTTAAAAGTTTCGGATTCGGTTCGACGGCTCTGAGTTTAATCCGCAGAAACTGAAAAACTCCAGAATCAGGTCAGCGTCATCTGCAAAACTCGTATCTGACAGCTGAGATTCAAGTGAAGGTTCAGCAGGTGTTTGGGAGATACCAGGTTTCCATTCAGTGGGTTTAATATGTGGACGCTGGTGAATCTGCGCGTGTGTGCGTGCGTGTGACAGATTGTGTTCACTTTGTGATGAACAGTGAAGTGGCAGATTCAGGTGAATTCTGGGTAATGAGCAGGTCTGAGCTGGATGTTATTGATGATATTATAATTGATCAGTTGTCATCAATAACACCCCTCACAGTGCAGTGTTGGTCTCACACAGTGTCGTTTTGTCTTTCTTCGTGTTTTTACACATCTATCCAGCCATTATCTATACACCACTTAATCCTCACTAGGGTCGTGGGGGGCTGGAGTCTATCCCAGCTGACTCAGAGTGAAGGCAGGTTCACCTGGACAGGTAACCAGTCTATCACAGGGCTACACTTAGAGACAGACAACCAAACACACTCACATTCACACCTATAGACAATTTAGAATCACCAATTAACTTCAGCATGTTTCTGGACTGTGGGATGACGCCGGAACCCGCTGTACGGGGGGAGCATGGAAACTCCACGCAGAAAGATCCCTGGTGTCCTCACCGGGACGCGAACTGGCGGCTTTCCATCTGCGAGGCAACGGTGCTAACCACTGTTTGTGCTTTTTGTTGTATTTAAGCTGCTGAACTGCCTGACCCTGATTAGCAATGACAACAAAGATCTGTTCTCCTCTAGTTCAAGGGGAAGAACAGTGAGGCTCTTGTAGCGGTTACTGCAATACCTGGTTGCTCCACCAGGAGGAGCCTCTCTGTGACTGAGATGAAGTTACAGGTGTGTTTGTGACTCCTTGAGTCTCTCTGCAGACCTGGAAGCACTTTCAGGACTTGTGGTTTTCACGTCACCTGCTGAGTTGTAGGAATCTCAAAGTAGTACAGCACAGTGGTAATGTGAGTACTGAATGTGAATCCAGTTTAATGTGTAGAAAACAGTTCTGATGTGTTCAGCTGCACAGCACAGTGAATATCAACCCGCCAAAGCGTGACAGACAAACTTTGTTGATCATCAGACTCTGCAAACGTTTGTGTTTTAATGTTGTTAATGTTTTAGTTAATGATGACTGCTGCGAAACCAAGTCTGAGCTTCGTTAATGATCTATTTAATGGAGCCATAGAGCGAGTCCATGTTGATAATTAATTATAATGAGCACAGTAAATAAACTCCAGAAGAGGATTAAAGCATGTTGTCATGATCAGTGTGTGTTTATCAGTCCATCAAAATGTGTCATGTTTATCCAAACTGGGCACAAAAAATTAACTATGTACACTTCAAATTGAGTTGAGACTTTAAAATTACAAGTACTTGGACATAATGTAATACTTTGTGTGAAATACTCATTAAATGAATCTTTGAAATTATAGGTAGTATTTTGGATGTAATCAGCCTTTAGAACTGAAGGTCTGGTGGGCTGTCTCTAACTGAAGGACTGTAGATGTGTGGCCCTAGAAGTGCTGCAGACACATACTGTTGGACTCACCTGCAGCTGGTCGTAAAAGCAGAACTCCACGTTCAAACAGCTGAAACAGGAAGTTAGAATCTGCAGCTACCCCAATGTCCACTTGAGGCTCCACAAGCGAGTCACTGACCACCATGTTGAAACTTTACAGCAGAAATAAGCATGTTTGCAGCCAGAACCAAGAAGTTCTTTTGTTCTGATGTTGTTTTCAGGCTTTAAGTTCTGCAGAATTAGGGGCGTGGCCTCTTAGATCGACAAGTGGGTGCTGCCCCTTGTCTCCACCTGTGTGTTGGATTGTAGACTTTCTCTGAAAGATGTTTTGGATCAACAAGTTTGGAGGAATTGAACACTGCCAAGATGGTAAAGGGTGGAGCCACTCCATTGATCCTGCTTTCCAAAGAAGTGATGTTAATGATTGATTGTTAATGGTTAATCTATTAATTATTAATTTAACAGATTAAAAATATATGAGCTAATAAGGCAGCAGAAGAAGGTCGTGCATGTCAGTAAATGTACCACAGACCAGCTGTAGTACCTGATTGTTCCACCAGATGGAGCCTCTTCCTGTTTAATCCTGTAGAGACCAGAGGAGGTGTCACTCAGACAAGTCATGCTGGCAGCAGAGCATTGTGGGAGTTTCGCAGTAACAAGACCATGACAGAGACTCTGAGGAGGTTCATGACCTCCAACCAGAGCTCCTGTTATCTACTTTAATAGCATTTCTGTGATGAGCAGTTCATGTAGCCAAGACAGTTTAATGGGGTCAGTGTGTGTCGGTGGTTAAAACATTAAGAATAATGTCTGCTGTACTTGATTTGTTTCACTGGTTAATCAGCTCTCATTTGATAAACTATCGCTTAAAACAGGTTTAAAATCAGGATATCTTGTACCTGCTGGTTCCTGCAGTAGAATGCAGCTCCGACTTCATCATCATGAAGCATTTCCTGCTCAGATATCAGTCTGCAGCGTGAAATCATCCGTCTGTGAAGCTCCAGCTTATTTAAACTGCAGAGGCAGCATGGCTTATTTGCCGAACCTGCTGCTGCAGAGGATTGTGGGTCAGAATGGCCAGAACATGCTTAGCAGAACATGCTAGCTGCAAAATGTCAAAAGCCACAGATGAAAGTTGGACATCCTGGTGTTTCTATTTGACACACAGTGTACTTGGACAAAATAAATCTGATAAATCTACTTTACAATGTTTGATAAAAGCTTCAGTTTCTCCTACAGAATGTCCAGTGACCTTCTGCTGAAGCGCTGAGTATCAGCTCGGACAGTGTGGAAGTATTAGAATCAGAAAGAGTGCAGCTTCTCTTGATGCATAGAAATGTAAATATTCAAACCACAGGACATTCTGTAGTCAACAGCAAGATAAAGATATGTGTGTTATAGTATAAACACTAAATTAAAGGCTGACTGTCAGTCTGAGGAAGACTTGCATGAATCGGAAACCTCTTGTTGGAGTTCAGTGTGCTGATGACGTTAAAGAAACAGTCTCTGAATCTGGACCTGTGGTTCTGGTCCACCTGCAGCAGTTGGGTCAGGGGGAGTCCGGGTTGTGTGGGGTTTTAGATGATGTTGGTGGTTCTGCTGCAGCTGCAGGAGGTGGTTTTGTGCTCTGGGGGCAGCAGCCAGAGATAGTCTGATGATCTCTGCAAAGCCTTTTTGTCTGGAGCTGAGCGACTTCCAACCAAACCGAGCGGTTCTCGATGGTCACCAGCAACGTCTTTCCATGTTGGTCCTCCTGAACATGCTCAGTCAGTGTAGACGCTGCTGAGCCTTTAACTGTCGCTGTGGTGTTGGCAGAACAGCAAAGGTCACCAGAAAGTTAAAGGAGCGAACTGGTGTCTCATTATCATTCTCCCTCAGTTGTGACTGTCAGGGCTCAGATACAAGGTTTCAGACAGGACTCAGGGTTTAATGACTCGACACAAGTTTGTTCTGTTATCGATCATTATTATAACAGTTGTGCTGCTACAGCAGCTGATCGATCAGCTGCTCCCTTCATGATGTCCTGATGTGACGCAGAGATTCAAGGGTCGTCCACACAGGTTTGTGTTCTGTAGTTTGAATGATTTCTACTTTGTTTCTGAGAAATCTGCAGTTTAGATCATTCTGCTGCTCAGGTTTGAAAACTGAAACAAGCACTAGATGCTGAATAAAAACACAAAGCAGATTGCCACAGTTAGAGTTTGTTTTTCCTTATATTTTTTCATTTCTTCCTCCATCATGTGGCCGTTATATGCAAAGAAACTCTGCATCAGAATCAGTATTTAGGACCTTCTTGTTTTAGTTTATTTGAGCTTATCTGCTGTAAAGTTTGTTTAGATTAGATTAGATTGCACTTTATTTTTCACCACCAATGAGGAAACTCATTTGTTGCAGCAGTACAGACAGAGGAGAGAGCACAACAACGTGACAGGAAGAAGAAGAGAACAAATAAAACTATGAACAGGAAGAGCTGAGAAATACAATACAATACAATACAATAGAGCTACACACACACTATATACACTATAGATCCATATAGTGGAGGCTATGAGTTAACAGAAAATAGATAAACAAAATAGAATATGATACAATAGGATATTGCACATGAGGTAGATATGTTGCACATAGCATCGGGTGTGTTATAGATTCTGACAGCGGTTGGGATGAGGGACCTCCTTCTTAGACCGTGGGTGGATCAGTCTGCTGCTGAAGGAGCTGCTCAGAGACCCCACAGTGTCGTGCAGGGGGTAAGAGGTGTTGTCCATGATGGATGTCAGCTTGGCTAACGTCTTCTTCTCACCCACCTCCTCTATGGAGTCCAGCGGACAGCCCAGGACAGAGCTCGCTCTCCTGATGAGCTTGTTGAGCCTCTTCCTGTCCGTGTTGCCTCCACTCCAGCAGACCACAGTGTAGAAGACAGCAAAAGCTACCACAGTCATAGAAAGTTCTGAGAAGAGTCCTGCACACTTCGAAGGACCTCAGTCTCCTCAGCAGGTGGAGGCGACTCTGGCCCTCCTTGTACAGGGTGTGGCTGTTGTCAGTCCAGTCCAGGTTACTGTTTATGTGAACACCCTGGATGTGACAGTGTTCTGTGCTGTGTGTGAAGTCCGAGCTGTACAGGTTGAAAAGGAAAGGGCAGAGTACCGTACCCTGAGGGACACCTGTGCTGCACAACAC